ACTTGTGTCGCTAAAGTTTCATCGGAAATAATTTTTACGGAAAATTAACAAACGAACACAGAGGCGTAACAATACCATTCGTTGAATTTAAGAAGACCACCTTGAATTAAAGAAGCATTATCCTCTGTATCCTTTGTGTTCATCACTTTAGTAACATCCAAGAATTTAGACATTATTAATAAATAATAATAAACGCTTTAAGACAAATCCCTTTTGGATGCCACTGATTATCTGAAATATTTCCATTTTCAACAACCTTACACTTTATGAACGGAAAGCTTTGTTTATTTGTTGTTCAGCGCAAAGTTACACAATGGATTATTTGTGTTGTGCCTACCACGGGGTACGGATGCAGTTCACTTTTTGGATGTTTCCACTTATACTGTAAAACCTAAAGTATCAGAAAACCTCTTTTTTTATGTAACTTATCAAAAGCTTTCGGAAAGTTGAAACAACTGACATTAGCGAGGATAACTTTAAATGAAAGAAAAATAATCTCTATAAAAAAACTAACAGTTTGGTAGAGCAAGAAAATTTTCAGTTACTATTAATCTCCACTTATATAAATGCATTTTCTTATATTCATTGTAAACAATAGTACATTTTTTCTAGCTATATTTTCGTTGGTTGATTATATTCATAATTACCAGTAAAAATAAAATTGCATGGTAAAACAGATAACTTGTTAAAAAAGCTTCATTGCAAAAATTAAAAAGAAAAAGATACTAATATTATGTTAATATTGAGTGTGTGGAGAAGAGAGCGCTCCCATATTTTTCCTTTAGAACTTCTCTCTAGATTGGCAAGGGCATCATCGCTGAAGATGGCAATGAATAATGCATCTAGAATTATTGGTGCAGGATTAAAGAATCATTTAAAATTTTCTAGTGTTAGAGTTTTTGCTCCAAGAATTTCTAGTGTTGCATTTTCTCAGTCGAATAGTTTACATGGAAAAAAGTGGAAACACAGTATTCTTGCAGAAAGCTCGATACTATGTCGAACAAATTTGGTTTCCCAGGTATGAAGAAATTGAATTGTGACATTTTTATTTTTAACAAGTTTAAGTTAATTTGTTACAAATTATATATTAAACTAACATTATAGTAAAGGACTAGTTCTAATATTATTTAAAGCATTATAGTTTAGTGGCCTAAGTCTACCATAATACCGACTTATATGTATATAGAATTATGATTAAGACTAGCACTGTAGCAGTAGTACAAGAATTATAGAAGAAAAGGTATATTTAAATGTATCTACTGTCTTGTCTTGTATATAAGATTAAAATAGAATAAATAACATAAAATTAAAATAACATCAATTCCTTACTGTAAGTATTTCTGTTAGATGAACACAGTTCCTGCCATGTATCTACTGTCTTTTCTTGTATATTGTTGCATCAGCGAGTCACATGACTAGTGTGACGCCACGTTTCTAG